ATTGCCAAGCAGAGTCTCAAACCCATTTTTAAAAATGTATTTCAGATTTACAATAACAGTATAAGCAACAAATTAGCGCACTTAGGTAAAAAAAGGGAACGAACTCACCAAAGGTCCTATGTTATGGTTTCAAGAAACTAAATCACCACATGAATCAAATGAAACGGGTTAATATCTACACAGATCGAGAGCAAGAACCTTCGCCTGAAGCTCTAATACCACTGTAGAGATTAAATACCACAAATCAGCCAACTAAGCATACAACAACAAATCAAAATGCAAAAAACAGGAAAAAATAGTAAAGAACACGAGAGATTTCCGCCATAAGGCAAGAGGTTCGGAATAAATCTTAATCCCCTTTTGAGCTTCTGCCAACCGGAAAAAATCACTCTATTAACCAAGGATCAAAGATCGTTCATCAATACACCAAGGCATTCAGTGAGATTCACACAAGAAACATCACAGTACATCGAACCCTCTCGAATCTCACTAAGGAATCCATATAAGGATACACAAGAGCTCACTACAAATCACTCAAGAGTTGTACAGTAGCTATACTATCACAGATTTACAAGAGATTTCGATTACAAGTGCAAACTGAAGAACGGCACAGGAGAGAGAACGGAGAGTTCGAGAGAGGGTAAGAATGGGAGTCTGAATTGTCCAAAAGATCTCAAACCCTAGTATATTAGAGAAGTCTCCAGAAGGCTACCATCCAACGGCTGCTGGGGCAACACTTGGCAACATCTCCACCTTCCAAAGGTAAGTAAAAAACGCAGCCAGCTAAATAATAACCAGAAACACGTTTTTCATTAAAGCAGTCCAGCCCAACAATAAAAGCCAGCTTCAGCCCAATTTATCAGTCAAACCCCAACATCATTGTGCCACATTCTTTACACAAATGACATTCTTTGAACTCTCCAAATTCAATGAAGAATCCTTGAAGTTTCATGGCTATCTTTCTTGTCTCAACCAAATTTGATAAATACTTATATATTTGATTTTCAACTTGCCTGTATATAGCTGTATAACTGATTGTATAAGACAGTAAGTCAGAATTACCCACAGCTCAAAGATCCATCCAGGCGTCTACATCTATCAAAAAATTCTGACGCAGCTTTCTTTCTTCCAGCTTCACCCCATGATACCCATAGAACTTCAAACTCCTCAATACAAGCTTGTCACCCTTCACATCTGTGATTGCTCCTGACAAGAATGTAAACCAGGGGTTATTGACATCTATTACACACCAGGGAAATGAAGATAACAGATGACACCTTCTTAACATGCATGAGTAGTTTTTCTGAGTTGAACTTAGAAATTCGAGTAATGAAACTTGCAGAATCTTTTGGAAGTTGGTGTCTCTGTGTTTTCATGGACGAATATACTGGAATTCTGATTAACTAATACAAATTTCATAACTTTGGAATGAAAAGTTTG